AGAATTTACATGACGGCACCTGGCTTCTTATTTGTTTTAAACTTAAAGCTATAAAATAAATGATTTTGACGATTACAATAGATTTAATAAGATGGAGGTCTAATCAATTCAATGTTCCCCTTCATCTTAGCTTATTTAAAAATTTCTATGCCTCCAGATATGGCTGAAGATGGGAAGGGGGGTGTGGGGGGGGGGTTGTATCTATATGAACCATTTATTTTTTAAAAAATATTTTTGAAAAATTTTAATTATATTATATTTATAGATAAAAAAAAACTTTTTACTATAATAAAAAGAAAAAATTATCAACATGTTTTTTTCGCGCTGGATAGGGTTAATCATATGATTAACTAGAGGCTATTTGAATCAAGGCTAGCTGAATCAATTAAATTATGCTTAAAATTATGATATAATTATTCATTGGCTACTATTATAGCTTTAAATTAATTTTATATGATAATTATTATAATTATAAAAAAAATTTAAAAATAAATTAAAAACTTAAACATTTTTTAAAATTAATAAAATGTCATATTTTGACATTTTCATATAAATTATTTAGATGCAAATGATGTATTGTATCAATAAAACATAGTCCATAAAAAATAGAAGAATAATAATTATAATCATCTATGTTAGAGACTTACTAAATCAATGGAATCTACAAGCCCCGGTTTTGGGGCTTGTTGGAGAAAAATTTTACTTTTATTAGAATCAATAAAATATTAAAAATATTTATTAATGTATAACTATAGGTAAATGTTTGCTGGGCTATATCATAGTATTCTATAAATTCAAAAGCTACAATTATTTTCAGGCTTATGATGATTTTGACAAAAACGCGAATAGCCCTAGTCTATACTGTTGGAAGAAAGTTGATTATGAGATCAAAAATAGATTATTTACCGGTTGACTAAAAAAACTTTACGTTTTTAAATCTTTATAACTCTAAAACGCGTCATCGTTCTTTTTATGAAATCTATTTTATTGTGTATCTTAATAATCTCAAAATATTTTAAAAATGTAGTAGGGACACTCATCTTTTTAAAAATTTCTCCTAAATCATAAACTATAACATAAAAATATTTCGGTATTATAAAAGAAATCTCATTATTAAATGCCACTAACAATATAAGCATTTACGGTAATTTGTAAATTAATTATTTTATCAAGAGAAGATCTGATAATGATAAAATTATGCCGTAGGGCCTAATATTTTTAAAAAAAATTATGGCTGGGTCGGGCTGTTATCATATAATTATATATTTTAAAAATATTCCAAGAAATAAGACGCAATATTTTTTATTTGTATATTTTTTTTGACAGACTTTTAAAATATTTATAAAATTCCTTCTTTATTTATTTCAAAATAATTATATAAAAATTTACAAATGCTAGAAAAATAAAATAATGCAGCTCACTATTTTTAAGAAAAAAAAATGAGATCGTTTATAACCCAAATAAATGAATTTTTAATATATCATGCAGCACTTACATCTGCAAATATTACTTCCACAAAAGACTTCCCAACCTTTTTCAGATGGTGATAGAAAAAAAAAATTTGTTAGATTTTTATTATGAAGATGTTAAAGTATCTTATGATGCCTTAATAGGAATAACTATGTTTATAAGATTAACTATAGTTGATATAGTCCCCAAAAATGCTATGGATTCTCTGCATTATTTCAAACACATTTTAGATTAAATTCCCAATGTATTAAAAGGGTTTATAAACTCTTCCCATTAGTAAACTAATGAGAGAACACTAATAAAATCAAATTTATAAAATTTTACATTGGATTTTTTTCCTATATATATGATGATTTAGGGGTAGTGTTGTTAAACTAGCTAACTTTAGTCAACTATAAAATAGTGTAGCCATGTTTTTATTCAAAAATATTAGAATCAATCTTCAAGTTGAGACTTAACTTAGAGACTTAATTCTACTTTTTAGTCTAAAAGCTCGACTAAGTCATGATAGAGATGGTGAAAGTTAGGTAATTTAACAACACTATTTTGGGGTGGCAAAAAATTATATTAATTTTTATCTTTCATAATTTGTAAAGGATTAAAACGTTACTTTTGCAGGTACGAATCATAAATATTTCAACTGTCCGATAGAAATAAAAATTTAGGCCGTATAAGCATTATATAATTATAAAGTTTAAGTAAAAAAAATATCCCTTAAATTCATATAATCTAGAAAAAAAAAATAGGAAAAATATTTATAAAATTACTTTTTTGATGAATATTTTCGGATAAAATTACACAAAAAATAATATTAAAATATAAAATAAATTTATTCTTATTAAAATTTATAATAAATTTATTTATAAACAACTTTAAAATAAAAACTTTTATTAATTAAAGTGTATTAAACAAAATTACAACCTCAACCAGGCATCCACTACCCTCTCTCCCTTTTCATTTTATTTTAACAACATTTTACATTCCCTTTTACGGCCTGGCTGAGAATACATGGACCATTATAATATACACTGGGAAAAAAACGAAAGGGGAAAAAAATCAAACGTACCGCAAGAAAATCAAACGTACCGCAAAAAAATCAAACGTACCGCAAGAAAAATTATTTCTTATCTTATAACACATAAAAACTTACACAAAAATAACTCTCCTTTTTACAATAAGCATTTTACCGTTCATTCCACTTTTTCTTTTAAATTTTATTTATGTACCACAACAGCCGTATTACTTTTCTTTCTGTTATATAAAATCATTTAAAACAATTCACAATCTTTGCAAATAAAAAAACAATAAAATTGCAAAGTCATGTAACTAATAACTGACATTGAAAGCAGTCTTGATTGTTAAGCTTGATATAATTTATTTGTATAAATAGCCCCAGTAGCACCACTTTGATTAAGATCATATTTTGAAGTATTTATATTATCAATTTTGTTCGGGTAAATTGTTATTCTATATAATATGATTTTTTCTTTTATATAAGATGATTTTTGTGTGGTAAAATTGTATATTAATCTTTTTTTTAAAAATAGAAAAAGTGTAAAAAGTTACTTTTGAAGGTACGAATGATATAAAGCATTTGTTAAATTTGAAAATAATAAGATTTTATGTTTTAAAGCTATAAAATTAATAATTTTGACGATTACAAAAGATTTAATAAGATAGAGGTCTCAATCCAATGTTCCCCTTCATCTAATCATATTTAAATTAAAAATTATCAACATATTTTTTAGCGCTGGAAAGGGTTAATCATATCAGTAACTATGAGCTAGTAGAATTAGGTCGAATTAATTATATTATGCTTAAAAATATGATATAATAAGTATTCATTGGCTATTATACCTTTAAATTCTATTTTTTTCCCTTTAACTTTCACCTTTTCTGGTGGTTGATATTCAAAAGAATTAGAAAAAAAAATTAAAAAATTCTTTAAAACTTAAACATTTTTTAAAATAAAATATCACATTTTGAAATTTTTTATGAATTATTTATATATAAATGGTGTCTTATTGATAATAACAATTATCCTATAGGAAACTTAATAAGCCAATATAATCTACAAGGGGGTTTGAGGCTTATTGGGGCAAAAATTAACTTTTACTAGAATCAATCTTAAATATAAAATATTAAAATATTTATTAATAGGGTCTTTTGTAAAAAACGACTTAATCTAATCGTTAAAAAAATTGAGTATACCAAATTCCACATATTTTTTAATAAAATACGAATTTCATAAATAACAAGTGACGTGTTTTAGAGGTAAATATTAAAACGCTACTTTAAATAAATATAAACAATTAAGCTGGTTCTCTGGTTTTTTGGAACTTAATAAATGGGTTAAATATAATTTTGTCAAATATAAATCACTATTTCATTGTGATAATGTTAGTTGTAATGCATTCGCGATATTGCATTCGCTGTAATGTATTCGCTCTAATACATTCGCGATAATGTATTCGCGGTATTACATTCGCTCTAATGCATTCGCTATAATTCATTTGCTATAATACATTCGCTATAATGCATTCGCGATAATCCATTCGCGATAATTCATTCGCTATAATGCATTCGCGATAATTCATTCGCTGTTATGCATTCGCTATAATATTTTCGCGGTAATGCATTCGCGCTAATATATTCGCTATGATACATTCGCGGTAATGCATTCGCTATAATATCTTTTCGCGGTAATCGACATTCGCGATAATGCATTCGCGATAATACATTTCGCGCTAAAAGTTTTGCGGTATTGACGTGATACGATTATTTATACCCATATCGATATTTTGTTTTAATAAAAATATTCATGACCCCCAGACCTAGACACGCCCATTAGGAAGAGTTTGACCTCCTGTTGAGCTGATTTTTTTATTAGCTCTCAATTGATATCCTTAGACGTTTTTAGGAGAAACTGTACGTATACGACCAATAACCTTATAACCATTATAGAGAGGTTTCGGTGATAAGATATTAAATTATATCCGTATTTGGGAAAAAATTATCAAAATTTTTATGGATTGGACTGGACTCGGAAAATATTCCTCAAAATATAGACTTGGATCTTGCTTGGGAAAATCCTTTAAAAACCATTATGGGCTGTGCTAGGAAAAAATTTTCAAAATTATTATGGGTTTAGCTGGGCTTGAGAAATTTTTTTTTTTAAATTATAAGGTTAGGGACCCTTGGAATTTTTTTCTAAATTTGTGACCTAGCAAATCGCGATTCATCTCATATTAATATTTTGAATGTATAGATAAAGATGTCATATTTTTTATCTAGTATAAAATAATGCGATAAAATGAATTAGTTATTTTACAAATAAAAATCTCGCTGTCAATCAAAAATTTGATGATATGAGAATAATATATTTTAAAAATTATAGCTTTTCAAATTTTTTAAATATGTTAAAATTTTATCAAGGGTAATTTTTTTTTCTTGTTTTTTTTTAAATATCGATCGATAAGGCCTTTTTCAATTTATAGTCAACAGTTGTTATTATTTTTTTTTTGAAATTTATAAAATATTTTTTTAAAAAGAATTTCAAAAATATATTTATAGTTTTATATTTAAAACCTCAAATCATCGAAGTAATTTGACTATAATAAACATTACATTTATTAAAATAGTGCAGAGCAGATCCGGGTCAAATGAATTTATGCCGAGCCAAAATAAAAAATCTGAGCTGTTCATAATATTTTGCATAGTATCAAAGACACTAGGTATTCGATTCGTTTATTTTATAAATATTGCTTTGTTTAATTATCACTAAACCTGGGTTCAGGATAAGTTTATAAGATTATACATTATATTTAATTTTGAAATTTTTTAGGTGTTGATATGAACTTTAACTATTACAGGGAAAAGAAAATAGAAAAGAAACCACATAATATACATACAAACATTGATATATAATGTTGATCCAAGGTAGAATTAATAATTTTTCAAATATATTTTAAATTACATAAAATATAATTTACAGGCATAATTTAAAAAAAGATTTTAGTATAATTCTTAGAAAATATTTAACCTCACTAAATATATTAAGGTTTAGGAATAAATTCTTTAAGGCTTTGGCTATGTTAAATTTTTATAGAAATAATGTAGTTTTTAATATTTTTCCTTTCAAATTATAGTTCGTAGTGATATTTTATAGATTATGGCTAAAGTTTTATTTAGATTTTTTTAGGGTAAAATGATATTTACAGGTTTATATTAACTTAATTACAAAAGTCTTCTTCCCGACTACGCCTAAAAATAATTAAATCTATATTTATCTAAGGTAAATTCAATATAATATTAATAAGGATTTTAAGATATATATATAATATAATTAAGATGTTATATCTTAGAATGAAATTGATCTGTTAATCTCATATATAAAAAGATATTTTATTTATCTTTTAATTTCTTGAACATAATTTTTAATTCTGTTAATTTTATTCTATATAAAATTATTAATAATTTTTATCATAATCCTGATATGGGGGCATTAAATAATTTCGCGATCATTGTTATTTTAATGGAGGAATATTGGAGGCGGTTATTATCAATTTCTTCTTCAATATGGAATATAGTAGGAAATACTAAATGTAATTTATAAATGCTAAGCTTGAGATATACACAAAATCATAAATATCCTTTTATTAAATTCTTATTAGCATGAAGAAATACATATAAATCTATTTTAAAATGGGTTAAGTTCTAATTAGATGTTTTTGACAAATACATTTTGTCAGGTCTACGTGAAAATAATGGTAAGAAAAAAAATTCAAAATTAAATTATATCATGAAAAATGTTGGTCATAACGTGCCAAATTCTAATATTCTAACAATTTGAAAATAACTCAAGACTTATTTTCTGAAATATACAATAATCCCTATATTCGAATGCATATATTATTGCAGTTGGATTTTTTTATTGGAGATATTCTTTATCATATTATTTTACAATGCAATCATTAATCATATATCTCGATTCCACATCATTTATTATCTATTTTAATCTCTTCCATATTCCGAAACATTACATTTGGAAGCATGCGGGGTTTATAAAAGGAGTTCGAAAGCTGATAAAGTTTAAAATGTTGCAGTTCGTTTATTATCCATATATTCATTGGTTATAATTAGCATCTTAATTTATTTGATGGGCGAAATTTTGTAGGTGTAATGTATAGTTGCTACGCTTTAATAAACATCTTTCTATATTCGATGTTCATAAAATTCAAAAATGGATCACTTTATTATTATTATTAAATTCTTATTACCATGAAGAAATATTTTAAAATGGGTTAAGTTCTAATTAGATGTTTTTGACAAATACATTTTGTCAGGTCTACGTGAAAATAATGGTAAGAAAAAAAATTCAAAATTAAATTATATCATGAAAAATGTTGGTCATAACGTGCCAAATTCTAATATTCTAACAATTTGAAAATAACTCAAGACTTATTTTCTGAAATATACAATAATCCCTATATTCGAATGCATATATTATTGCAGTTGGATTTTTTTATTGGAGATATTCTTTATCATATTATTTTACAATGCAATCATTAATCATATATCTCGATTCCACATCATTTATTATCTATTTTAATCTCTTCCATATTTCGAAACATTACATTTGGAAGCATGCGTGGTTTATAAAAGGAGTTCGAAATCTGATAAAGTTTAAAATGTTGCAGTTCGTTTATTATCCATATATTCATTGGTTATAATTAGCATCTTAATTTATTTGATCGGCGAAATTTTGTAGGTGTAATGTATAGTTGCTACGCTTTAATAAACATCTTTCTATATTCGATGTTCATAAAATTCAAAAATGGATCACTTTATTATTAATATTAAATTCTTATTACCATGAAGAATAATTTTAAAATGGGTTAAGTTCTAATTAGATGTTTTTGACAAATACATTTTGTCAGGTCTCCGTGAAAATAATGGTAAGAAAAAAAATTCAAAATTAAATTATATCATGAAAAATGTTGGTCATAACGTGCCAAATTCTAATATTCTAACAATTTGAAAATAACTCAAGACTTATTTTCTGAAATATACAATAATCCCTATATTCGAATGCATATATTATTGCAGTTGGATTTTTTTATTGGAGATATTCTTTATCATATTATTTTACAATGCAATCATTAATCATATATCTCGATTCCACATCATTTATTATCTATTTTAATCTCTTCCATATTCCGAAACATTACATTTGGAAGCATGCGTGGTTTATAAAAGGAGTTCGAAATCTGATAAAGTTTAAAATGTTGCAGTTCGTTTATTATCCATATATTCATTGGTTATAATTAGCATCTTAATTTATTTGATCGGCGAAATTTTGTAGATGTAATGTATAGTTGCTACGCTTTAATAAACATCTTTCTATATTCGATGTTCATAAAATTCAAAAATGGATCACTTTATTATTAATATTAAATTCTTATTACCATGAAGAAATATTTTAAAATGGGTTAAGTTCTAATTAGATGTTTTTGACAAATACATTTTGTCAGGTCTCCGTGAAAATAATGGTAAGAAAAAAAATTCAAAATTAAATTATATCATGAAAAATGTTGGTCATAACGTGCCAAATTCTAATATTCTAACAATTTGAAAATAACTCAAGACTTATTTTCTGAAATATACAATAATCCCTATATTCGAATGCATATATTATTGCAGTTGGATTTTTTTATTGGAGATATTCTTTATCATATTATTTTACAATGCAATCATTAATCATATATCTCGATTCCACATCATTTATTATCTATTTTAATCTCTTCCATATTTCGAAACATTACATTTGGAAGCATGCGTGGTTTATAAAAGGAGTTCGAAATCTGATAAAGTTTAAAATGTTGCAGTTCGTTTATTATCCATATATTCATTGGTTATAATTAGCATCTTAATTTATTTGATCGGCGAAATTTTGTAGGTGTAATGTATAGTTGCTACGCTTTAATAAACATCTTTCTATATTCGATGTTCATAAAATTCAAAAATGGATCACTTTATTATTATTATTAAATTCTTATTACCATGAAGAAATATTTTAAAATGGGTTAAGTTCTAATTAGATGTTTTTGACAAATACATTTTGTCAGGTCTCCGTGAAAATAATGGTAAGAAAAAAAATTCAAAATTAAATTATATCATGAAAAATGTTGGTCATAACGTGCCAAATTCTAATATTCTAACAATTTGAAAATAACTCAAGACTTATTTTCTGAAATATACAATAATCCCTATATTCGAATGCATATATTATTGCAGTTGGATTTTTTTATTGGAGATATTCTTTATCATATTATTTTACAATGCAATCATTAATCATATATCTCGATTCCACATCATTTATTATCTATTTTAATCTCTTCCATATTTCGAAACATTACATTTGGAAGCATGCGTGGTTTATAAAAGGAGTTCGAAATCTGATAAAGTTTAAAATGTTGCAGTTCGTTTATTATCCATATATTCATTGGTTATAATTAGCATCTTAATTTATTTGATCGGCGAAATTTTGTAGGTGTAATGTATAGTTGCTACGCTTTAATAAACATCTTTCTATATTCGATGTTCATAAAATTCAAAAATGGATCACTTTATTATTATTATTAAATTCTTATTACCATGAAGAAATATTTTAAAATGGGTTAAGTTCTAATTAGATGTTTTTGACAAATACATTTTGTCAGGTCTCCGTGAAAATAATGGTAAGAAAAAAAATTCAAAATTAAATTATATCATGAAAAATGTTGGTCATAACGTGCCAAATTCTAATATTCTAACAATTTGAAAATAACTCAAGACTTATTTTCTGAAATATACAATAATCCCTATATTCGAATGCATATATTATTGCAGTTGGATTTTTTTATTGGAGATATTCTTTATCATATTATTTTACAATGCAATCATTAATCATATATCTCGATTCCACATCATTTATTATCTATTTTAATCTCTTCCATATTTCGAAACATTACATTTGGAAGCATGCGTGGTTTATAAAAGGAGTTCGAAATCTGATAAAGTTTAAAATGTTGCAGTTCGTTTATTATCCATATATTCATTGGTTATAATTAGCATCTTAATTTATTTGATCGGCGAAATTTTGTAGGTGTAATGTATAGTTGCTACGCTTTAATAAACATCTTTCTATATTCGATGTTCATAAAATTCAAAAATGGATCACTTTATTATTAATATTAAATTCTTATTACCATGAAGAAATATTTTAAAATGGGTTAAGTTCTAATTAGATGTTTTTGACAAATACATTTTGTCAGGTCTCCGTGAAAATAATGGTAAGAAAAAAAAATCAAAATTAAATTATATCATGAAAAATGTTGGTCATAACGTGCCAAATTCTAATATTCTAACAATTTGAAAATAACTCAAGACTTATTTTCTGAAATATACAATAATCCCTATATTCGAATGCATATATTATTGCAGTTGGATTTTTTTATTGGAGATATTCTTTATCATATTATTTTACAATGCAATCATTAATCATATATCTCGATTCCACATCATTTATTATCTATTTTAATCTCTTCCATATTTCGAAACATTACATTTGGAAGCATGCGTGGTTTATAAAAGGAGTTCGAAATCTGATAAAGTTTAAAATGTTGCAGTTCGTTTATTATCCATATATTCATTGGTTATAATTAGCATCTTAATTTATTTGATCGGCGAAATTTTGTAGGTGTAATGTATAGTTGCTACGCTTTAATAAACATCTTTCTATATTCGATGTTCATAAAATTCAAAAATGGATCACTTTATTATTAATATTAAATTCTTATTACCATGAAGAAATATTTTAAAATGGGTTAAGTTCTAATTAGATGTTTTTG